AGGTATGGAGACAGGATGCATCCCTGGCGTACACCCTTCCCAATTTTGAACCATGCAGTGTTACCCTGCTCTGTTCTGACTACTGCCTCTTGGTCCAAATATAGGTTTCGTATTAGCACAATTAAATGTTCTGGGATTCCCATTCTCAGAGTCAGCCACAGTTTGTTATGATCCACACAGTCAAATGCCTTTGCATAATCAATGAAACACAGATAGACATTCTTCTGGTATTCCCTGCTTTCAGCCAAGATCCATCTAACATCAGCAACGATATCCCTAGTACCACGACCCCTTCTAAACCCAGCCTGGACTTCCGGCAGTTCTCTGCTGATGTGCTGTTCTAATCGTTTTTGGATGATCTTCAGTAGAATCTTGCTTGCATGTGAAATAAATGACACTGTTCTGTAGTTTCCACACTCAGTTGGGTCACCTTTCTTTGGAATGGGAACAAATATAGATCTCTTCCAGTCAGTTGGCCAAGTGGTTGTTCTCCAGATTTCTTGGCACAACTTGGTGAGCACGTCCAGGGCAACATCTGTTATCTGAAATACTTCAATTGGTATACCATCTTTTCCTGGGGCTTTATTTTTTGCTATTTCCTTCAAAGCAGCTTGAACTTCTTCCTTCATCACCATAGGCTCTTGCTCATATGTTATTTCTTTAAATTCCTCTGTATCTGCCAATTCCTTTCTATATAATGACTCAGTATATTCCTTCCATCTTCTTTTAATACTTCCTGGATCATTTAATATTCTGCCCGAAGCATCCTTGATTACAGCAACTCTAGGTTTGAATCTGTTCTTCAGTTCTTTGAGCTTAAGAAATGCTGAGCGAGTTCGGCCCTTTTGATTTTCTGACTCTAGTTCCTCGCACATAATGCCACTACTTTTCCTATTTCCCCACTCTTTATTCCCTGCATTCATAGTTTGCCGATAACCATACAGAAGAGAATACAATACTTTCAAAATTTGTTTGAACACCTAAAATGTAATATGTTTTCTTGTTTACCATCAAGTTGGAACCAACCCATAGCTAACCCTCCAATAGGTTTTCAGAGGCAATGAATCGCATGGGAGGAGATTGGCCATCCTTCTCCCATGGAGCAGCTGGTGGCTTCAAACTGAGTGCCTTCTGGATTGCAGCGTAGCTTCTTGCCACTAGGCCACCAGAGCTTAAAAGGAAAAAAAATGGAATGTTTGTTGTTTTAGAAGCATTGTTTGCTCTGTGTCTGGTTTGATACTTGCGTCTGTTTTGGACAATTGAGCACGTATCTCAAGCTTACACTCCTTGCTGTGGCGTTGGAGCCAACTCATGACTTCCCCTACAGTGGGTTTCTGAGGCTGTAAATCTCCTGGTAGGAGAATGCCCATCTTTCTCCACAGAGCTGCTGGTGGATTCAAACCCCCAGAGAGAGGTACTGCCTTCAGGCACTGGTAGCATACTCTTTAGAGAGTTGTACTGAACCCAAAGGCCCATCTTCTCTGCTGGTTTGCATTCACCAGTGGCTCCTCAGGAGAAAGATGGGAAATTTCCTGTGTGTTTTACAGCTTCTGAAAACCCGCTTGAGGGTCAGCTATGAATTGGCCTTGATTCAACATCACTGGGTTTTTTGAGAGAGCATATGCCAAGTTGATATACCTTTTGCTCAACAGAAGAAGACAGCTGGTGGTCATGAAAAGTCACTCTAAATGGAAAGTGTAGATGCAGCATTTGGTGTTTTTACTATTCTTTGCCTCTTCAGATTACTATGAATACTCTAGTATGTATTATGAAGATAAGAACTAAATAGTAGGGTTTTGTTTTTATTGGTTTTTTAACTATAGAGTTATGTTTTAGTTTGCATGATTCTATGTAGTTCTAGTATGCTATAACCAGTGGGTACATAATTTCTTGAGAATATTACATTGCTTCTTGGTAATGCTATTTGAATTTGCTTTCTAATTAGAATTAGAAAGGAAAATTATATGATAGTTCAAAATATTTTATTTTGGGATATTTAACCTACATACCTAAGAAATTACTTAAAATTACAGAGTAACCACTGGTATAGTATTTCTGTTATTGCTTAGCAAAACAAAGCCAAGTTTAAACAAAAGCATGTATACTACTTGGGGAGAGGAAGAAATAAGAGCAGGAATTAAAAAGTCCTTTAAAATTTTATTAAAAGAAACTGCTAAATCTTTTCTTGGTCATCTCTCTCTCTCTCTGATAATTTTAAGGATGAGGTCTTCCTAGCTGTCTCCATGTTCACATGGTTTTGAACATGTATGTGTGTATTGTTTGCTATCTTCTTATAAAGATACCAGTCATTGAAGTCAGAGTCTGCCTTGACCCAAGATGACTTTATTTTCGCTTGATTATGTCAGCAATCAAAGACTATTTCTAAACCACAGTCATAGATAATAGGGATTGAAACTTTAAACATAAATTCTTGGCACATGCAGTTCATCTAGCACCGATAAGTTATACTCAGTTACTAAGCTTGGCAGGTGTAGACACTGAGACACAAAATACTTAGGCATCTTGGCTAGAAAACTGTAAGAAGTAGTGGTCTTATTTTACAAAATCTTGTTTTCTTTCATTCTGAGGATTTAAAGGTAGATTGATGGATTTTAAAATCTTTGGTGGGTGTTCTTTATTTGGTATGACACGAGCAAGCTTGTCTTTCAGCATTCAAGAAATGCAGGGGAGAATAGAAAGGGAATGTGACCTGGGAGGGAAGGAGAGAGATGCTGGTCAGCTTCCCTGCTGGCCTGTAGCAAATACTGACTAGTCCAGATTTCACAGCACTTACTCTCAGAGAGATGCTGTGTCACTGAGCCAGTGACACAGCAGAGATTGTGAGGATGATACAGGGTTGAGCAGAGTTTTGTGGTTTTACACATCTCTGTGAGTCTAAGCTAGCTCCACACCCCCTAACAACACTAACAACAATGAGGAAGCCACCATTGAAGCTGTGACTGCAATTCATAAAAGAGTAAGGGAAATAAAATAGGAGAAGCAGGGGAGCTCTGGTGGCCTAGTGGCAAGGAGCTGCAACTACAATCCCAGAGGCGAACGGCTCGAATCCACCAGATGCTCTGCCGGGGAAGGAGGGGCAATCTCCTCCTGTACTAGTCAGATCTGATTTGACAATACATGTACACAAAAAAAATAATAAAATTTAAAAAAAAAATAGGAGAATCATTTCTTTATGGAAGAATACATATTTCCATGGGTTAGAGTGGGAGATACTGAGGGGATTGAGAAAGAGCACTTCTTCCATTATTATGTCAGAGATGCTCTGAGGTGTTAGGTGTGTTTAAAGCATTCGGCTGCCAGCAGTAAGGTCAGTGGTCCAAACTCATCAGCTGCTGCACAGGAGAAAGATAAGGCAGTGTAATTCTAGAATGATTTAGAGCTTTGAAGCTCTATGAGATGATATGTTTTGTCCTGTTGGGTCCCTGACTGGACAGCAGTGGGTTTTATTGTTCTATCCTTTTTCTCACATGTGTAAGTATGTATTCAGCGTGGAACAAATTTATTTTTGTCAAGTTAAATGCAGCTCTTATTTTTATGACATTAATGTCATTTTATAATCATCTGTGGGGAAAATCTAACAGGAATAAAATCATCGATATTCACTTGTTATGCATCAGAGAGTTGGACAATGACTAGGGAGGACAGAAGGAGAATGGATGCTTTTGAGCTGTGGTGCTGGAGAAGGGTACTGAATGTACCCTGGACTGCCAGGAAAACAAACGGATTTGTCTTGGAGAGGATTAAACCAAGCTGCTCCTTGGAGGCAAGGATTCTGGGGCTTCGTCTGACATACTTTGGACATGTTGCCAGGAGGGACGGGTCCTTGGAGAGGGACATCATGCTTGGGAGGGTGGAGGGACAGCGCAGGAGGGGAAGACCCTCTATGAGATGGATTGATTCAGTGACTGGGGTAATCGGGATGGGTGTGTCAGAGGCAGTGCGGTTGGCGCAGGATAGAGCAGGGTTTAGGGCTGTTGTGCATAGGGTCGCTATGAGTCGGAAACGACTCGACGGCACATAACAACAACAACAACAATATAAATTAAATTTTGACCTATCCATGGGCAACTGTCTGTGTTACACATTTTTAGGATTGATTAGATAAATTCAACAAGTCATCTGTTAGGTGTTTAAGAGCCCAGTTGTTAGCCAGAAAGTCAGTGGTCATAGCCCACCATATGCTCTGCAGAAGAAAGATGTAGCTGTAATCTTCCTTAGAGATTCACAGACTCGCTAGAAGAATGAGATGGTTCCTGGCTGCCGCCGTGAACCACCTTGCTAGGGTAACAACAGAGGATCCTGGATGGAGCAGGAGTATAATGTAGAACGACAACAACAACAACAACAAACCACTCCCAAGACCAGGCTTACCCGTTCTGACATAGAGCGGAGGAGCCCCTGAGACTGACTCCGTGGTCCTGTGACTTCCATCTGACCAGAGCCTCAAACCATCTGTGGAAACCACCTTTCAACTTACTTCCAGCAAATGAGATAAACAGCCACACTGAGAGGCATGTGTGCTTTGGAATAATCACTGTGAGAGAGCAGAAAGGCATTTGCCCAAAAACAAAATGAGGGAGCTTTATGGGCAGCACATTTGGATGAAAGGAAATGGGGAACTCAGGGCTGAATAGGGAAGATGCTGACAGTGGTGGCGAATGCACCCAGTGTCACAAAACAGTCTATGTACAAGCTATAGAATGGCAAAAAATAGAATAAAGGAAAACGACTCAAAGCTCTAGAACCCGATGGAGCAATTGTTCACTGAGAGTGGCCAGGATTGACTTGGAGGCCATCGTTTAGTTTTGGGATTTATTAATTTGATAGGAGAGGCTGACAGCATGGTGTTTTGATTTTTAGCATTCCTCCATCTTTCTTAATGCAGTTCTCATTATCTTGTCACTTAGCTGCTGGCTTTCTTTCCAAGCAAAGGTAATTGCACCGAGTGATTGGATTTTTTTTTCCTTACAGAACAATCAACCATGACGACCGAATCAGGTTCAGACTCGGAGTCCAAGCAGGACCAGGAGGCGGAGCCCCAGGAAGCCGCAGGTCCACAAGGGGGTCCCCAGGGGCGTGCTGGGGCTCAGCCGCCAGGACCTAGCCCCGAACCTGTAGCTGAGCCAGAGATCTTGGAGCAGTTTGTGGCTGCTGCACATAGCACTCCTGTGAGAAAGGAGGTGAGTCCCCCATCTGGAGGTACCCATGCATTCTGATCACCTAGACCCCTCGCCGTACCATCACTTTAGCTTGTAGGTGGTCAGAAAACCAACTAAAGGGTTTTTACAGAGCTTCTCCTGGATCTGGTTTAACCTTAGTATCTCTAGTTCTAGAAGAACAGTGGCATCATCTGGCTCCAGGCAGATGGAGATAATGCCGTTTGACAGCTATCAGTGAATAGCAGTCCATCTACAATCTTTCAGTGTAATCTTTTCCTTTAATATTTAAACTCTGATACTGCCACTGGAAATTATTAAGGGAAATTTTCACTTATTTTTTTCAGGGACAATAAATGTTTTCAAGTTCTTTTCATTTTTCCCAGGAGTCTCACTAACCCTAATGTTGACATCTATATTTGCTGGATGCTCTCTCTGTTCAGTTTCTTTCCCTTTAATATACATATACGTATACATATACATATACATATATATACATACACATATACATTTCCCTTTCATATACATATATTTTCAACTCTTTTCGCTATAAATATGTACATTGTCATGTGTAATAGAAATATAAATAACTCTTAAAAGTGTACATGCTGTCTTAGTTTCTTCATATTGTCTTAATAGAAATATAAGCGAGTGACTTTGAAACTCAGAAATTTTGTCACAATTTGGAAGGTTAAAGTTAGAACCCAGAGTGCCCAGACGTTAGGGGAAGTCTCTCTCTGTCCACTTCGGGAAAAAATTCCTTGTTTCAGCATCCTTATCCCCAGTGATCCTAGATTCCTTGGGATTCGTAATATGGAGCCTGTCTTTTGCCTATTCTTGCTTGCTTGTCTCTGTACCTAATTGGTTTTTCTTACCAGATTTTCATATATAATATATCCACACACATAACAAATATACTCATACACCATGAATAGTGCACACTGGAAACTAATAGAGAGGGACATTGTGACTTGCAAAGAAGTATATAACTGTGTGTAACCTGCTCTGAAAATCAAGCATGTCTCAAATGATTAGATTTAAGACATCCTATACCAACCTGTTTTTTAGGATATTGTAGCTGATGTTAGAAGGATCTAAGCTGAAAGCAGGGAATACCAGAGGAATGTCTATCTGTGTTTCATTGACTATGCAAAGGCATTTGACTGTGTGGATCATAACAAACTGTGGCT